ATGAAGGTTAAATTTACTTATAGTTGGCTTAATAGATCAAACAAATTTGTTAAACAATTGATTTCCTCATAGAAAATTATCATTCTCTACTAATTTCTTCTCTGTTTACATTTGATCACTGCTGCACTTTATTTTTTATACACTCTGGTTAAACAACATGAAATGACGTAGACATTTTGGACAATAAAAGTTCTCTAAGTCTATCTGCTCTTTTTCCAATATTGTAATTTTTACATTGAAAGACAGAAATTCTTGCTGAAGGTAGCTTTAAGTCATGGTCTGATTGTAGTATATCTATATCTCTATATCTATAGAGCAAGCTGCGTGTGTTCAGGTGTGGGATGAGGACAGCATCAAATGATTAAAGCAGAGCGCCGTCCAAACAGCCAGCAGGCTGGTTTCTGTGATGCGTTTGTTTAGTAGATGCCAGATTTGACCTTCAGTCAGAAAATCATTATTAAACCAGCGAGGAAGCGGAGCGCTGATGTCATCGCTGAGGCTTTAATCTGGCAGCAATCTGCTCCCAACATTAGGAATAAAGAACCAATGATTTAAAGGGAGGAAAGAGAAAGATCCATGTAGAGAAAAACTTGGGATGAAGGAGGCAGATAATCTGGACCTCATGTTAAACATGTCAAATGGTAAATGTCCTGTACTTATATAGCGCCTTTATTCAAGCCAGGAGACTTGACCAAAGCGCTTTGCACTACATTCATTCACCCATTCACTCACACACTGATGGGGGCAAGCTACATTGTAGCCACAGCTACACTGACAGAAGCGGGGCTGCCGTACACTGGCGCCACCCTCTGACCACCATCAGTAGACAATGCAGGTGAAGTGTCTTGCCCAAGGACACAACGACAGTGAATGTCGGAGTCAGGGCTTGAACCATCAACCCTTCGATTTCAGGGTAAACTCCTACATCCGACGCCACCGTCGCCCCGTATGGCGTCATATATGACCGGCCTGTTAGATCAACATCAGTGCTTTTTATATGGAAGGCAGTTATTGAACAAAGGAAGGGAAGTTTTCCTTCTGTGGGCTACAGAACAAAAGCAGGGAAATAGTTCACTGATATTGATTTTATGAAATAATCCACCCGCCCTGTTAGCCTGTTAGCCTGTTAGCCTGTTAGCCTGCCTCAGTACAGCTGAAGCTAAACAGATTCTTTGTAGTTCAAGTAAAACTGTGAAAAGGCCAAAGGCCCAGTCAGTCCTGGTTCTGACCAGTTATCTAACATTCGTACAGACTGGAGTCTTAGGACCTTCTTTAGGCTTGGTTTGTTCCATGGTCTAAAATTAGTAGAGACGTCATGGTGGTCTACTGGAGCCTCAGGACCTAGAATGCTCT